CAAATAAAGGACTCAGTGAAACGAAAGTTTATAACTTGGTAGTACCTTTTGAGAAACTTTAGATGTATATTTTAGGTCCATTCCCAGCTTCTTCGTTAGGCAATAAACATCCCCTTGTCGTGATAGATAATTTTACCATGTAGGTAGAAGCTTTTTCCTTATAAAACGTGAGGACAAAACAATTACTCAAATTTTTGTTAATGAAGTAGTTTGTCATCGTAGTATACCCATAGAAGTGCATACTGATTAGAGTACGAATTTCGATTCTCGTCTGGTAAAAGAGTTAGCAGAACTCTTAGGAATTGAGAAAACACGTACTACATATACCTTTACACCCACAATCTAATGCTTAGGTAGATCACCAACATCAGATGATTCTAAATTATTTATCTAAATTTGTAAGCGAGAATCATAAAGATTGAAACTCTTGGATATCATTATTTTTGTTAGCTTATAGACCTTTCAAACATACGACAACCGAGTTCTCTCCAGCTGAGATGTGCATTGGTGATGATCTTCGACTTCTACTAGATCTGATAAAAGGACCTTTTCTGGGTAATCGTATTTAAGTTTCGCCACCGGAAAATTATGTACAAAAGTTAAGAAGGAAGATGGCAGAAATCCATGACTTGACAAGAACCACCGGAGCTGCAACATCTAGCAAGATCAAGACCCATTACGATAATCGAGCAAGGACTTTTTTCGGAAGGATAAAAAGTTTGGTTCTGTAATCCTCAAAGAACCAGAGAAAAAAGTCTGAAACTGCAGAGTTACTGGGACGGTCCGTTTAAAGATGTCAAGAAAATCAATGACGGTGTCCACGTCATTCAGTAGTCACAAAGACACAAGACAAAGACGATACGTGCAAACGTAATTGCGATTTTCCACGATAGAAAATCATTTTAACTACTCTGCTTCGGTATTATTTTGCGTGGCTTACTTTTCCGAAGACATTAGGCAAATGCTAGAGTAGGGACGTGAAATGGGATCCTAGAGACGTGATTCCTCATTCCATGTTCAAGAATCAAATCGTGTACCTACACGAAACTTAACCTTAAAAAATGAGGAGTAGTAGAATGAAACAGATACAATAGAAATAAATATGCTCGGTAAATTGGTGGTGGAGTTGTGGTAAAGATTTCAAGTCCTGCAGCTATAAAAAGAAAATTTAGATGAAGTTGGATTTACAGTTTAATGCAATGTACTTGGTAACTTGAAAAAGGAGTCAAGTAGGGTTATTCTATATCCTGGAGCTGTATTGATATCCTGTAGCTACGACGAACGAAGGTAAATGTGATATTTTAAAGTGCTGTATGGTGTTAAGTTTTGTACTTGTCGTTACGATACACGGTTTAAAAAAAAGTCGTGGAACGGATGAGATGCCGTGCTATCACAAATGTTGCTATGCGTTTCTAGTTATTGTTATTGACTGAAAAATAGTAGTTTAGTAGAGATTTTAACCTTAAGCTAATTACTTTTGTTTACTTCTACTTATTAAATTTAGTTTTGTTTCGTGAAGTAACGTATTTTACGTGCTACTGCTAAGCGTAGCAATATATATCTAAACTTAATAAGTAGCAGTAAACAAAAGTAATTAGATTAAGGTTAAAATCTCTACTAAACTACTATTTTTCACTCAATAACAATACCTAGAAACGCATAGCAACATTTTTGATAGCAAGGCATATATCATACATTGATATATGTGTATATATGCATGATATGTAACGGTGGCATTTCCCGAGAACCGCGTGTAGAGCGATCTTTTCTGACTCGAACCCCGTTAGAATTAGTTTTTTAGGGCAAAAAGCTTTTAAATAGGAGCCGATTGAAAATACGTTCCAAACTACCCCTAAATGGGGTTGGAAGGCTAAAGTGCGCCCGCATGAACTCGCGACGTTGCCACATTGTTATTGGAGCTTAGTCGGTAAGCAGTGAGAACTATATCCATGTGCGCACGCAAGAGCGTCAGCTACTGCTGGTAACTTGAAGGTTGGATGTAAAAATTTTAACCTTAAGGTAAATATTGTCTGCAACTTATGTTTTCAGTTGTTTATCCACGCGCTTACTGTCTTTCTCACTCTCATGTTGAACAAAAACATCTTTAAATTTTTATACTTAAGTAATGTTGCCTCGAATGAAAGTGAAATACCATATCAGTAGGGATTTTTCCACTCTACACGATAGTATTTTTGTAAAAATAGTCGAGCTCTCGGTCAAAAATATTGTTGTTAGGTATGTATTGCTTATGTTCCCGGGTATGTCGTCTGTACACGATTTAGAACGAGTCCATTCATAAATTGCAATAATTAAGTACCCGCCAAGTGCCCAGGAAGTACCCGAGGAAGTGCCCGCCAAGTCCCCGGAAGTCCCCGCCTAGTACAATACAGTCGGGTACTTCCCGGGTACTTGGCGGGCACTTGCCGGGTACTTCCTGGGCACTTGGCGGGTACTTGATTATTGCAATTTATGAATGGACTCGTTCCAAATCGTGTACAGACGACATACCCGGGAACATAAGCAAGACATACCTAACAATATTTTTGACCGAGAGCTCGCCTATTTTTGCAAAAATACTATCGTGTAGAGTGGCAAAATCCCTACTGATATGGTATTTTACTTTCATTCGAGGCAACATTACTTAAGTATAAAAATTTTAAGATGTTTTTGTCCAACATGAGAGTGAGAAAGACAGTAAGCGCGTGGATAAACAACTGACAACATAAGTTGCAGACAATATTTACCTTAAGGTAAAAATTTTTACATCCAACCTTCAAGTTACCAGCAGTAGCTGACGCTCTTGCGTGCGTACATGGATATAGTTCTCACTGCTTACCGACTAAGCTCCAATAACAATGATGCAAAGTCGCGAGTTCATGCGGGCGCGCTATAGCCTTCCAACCCCATTTAGGGGTAGTTTGGAACGTATTTTCAATCGGCTTTTATTTAAAAGCTATTTGCCCTAAAAAATTAATTCCAACGGGGTTCGCGTCAGAAAAAATCGCTCTACACGCGGTTCTCGGGAAAGGCCACCGTTACATATAATGCTGTATATATATATATATATATATATATATATATATATCTTTGAATACTCGCAGGTTGTTTACGAGCCTAATGCAACATTCTTACAAATTTTGTTTTGGATATCAACAGTATTTTGAGAAAGACTACTTGACCTACTTTTTTTTTTTAATTTGTAAATTATCCGCTATATTTGTGCGATGATTGCCGTAACCATTCTTATTCATTATGACTTTTGCTTTGACTTACATGGAGAGATGCACGAAGCTTTACGTATAGTAAAAGATGCTAATGAAATCTTGCACAGCATCTTTTGATTACATACTTGAATGGACCAAAGGTTAAGGACTCTATAGTTCTGGCCGTATGGTTTGGCATGAGAATATCCGGTAGTAGGATGCTTAGCGAAGGAGTTGTTCTACAAATGAAAGTTTGAATAATAACGATTGAGTTTGTCTAGTCAATCAAGCTGCTTTATTTATTAGACATTAAAAGTGTATACATCTCTAAAGGTACTTGTCTCCTGTTTGTTCATTTGATGGTGCATTTTTTCAGTGATTGTTATATTGCTCTGCTTTACGGGCTTTATAAGAAAATGCTTAGTAAGTTATGTATATGTATCATGCAGTACTTAGGTTTGCAGACGATATAAGTCAATTGGAATCACATTATTTAATCGTACAAAAGGCAAAAAGTTTTGACTTATAGTTGTTGAGTACTGTAATAATAATTAACCTACATGCTTAAACTTCGCTATTGCACTTGTATCATTCAAAAAACAGCTATATTTAACTGCACACCTACAAATTTGATAAAAAGTCAGCCGACGTTAGTGTGAGTCATCTGTCTATCATCTATGTCAACGACAGTACAGTTGAATAAATTGGTATGGGTTGCAGCTGCTGCTTAGTATTTATTAGTTATATAAATGTATTAGGTACATGAATCAAAATATTGTGAATTATTAACAGCAATCCAACTCCATGATGCAACTCGATAATTTGAGCAGAATTTTTTTTTTCGTGCGCGTATGTGTGTCAATTATGTTGCACCCCATGCACACGCAGTTTTCTCCATACCAAGCAAGTTTAACTTTCTGTTAAAATTCATACTTGAAGTTAAAAAATAAATACTATATATCGATTGCCAAGACCAGGTTACAAACGAGTCTTTTTAAAAAACTTATAGGGTACATCGAAAACTAGTAAAAAAAGAGGTTTTTTGTATTCCTGTGAAAACACCTTTTTCATATGACAACACATTTACATTTAAACGCATTTTTCTTAGTTTACTACACATACAAGACAGAAAAACTTTCGCATATTCTTCTTTTAAATATACGCTTGATTGATCTGGAACCTTGTGTTGAAGTGATACATTTATTTATTTGAAAGGGATCAAAATTTAAGTGCAATAAATGTAAGAGCTCACAATCTTGATAAAAAATATGAAATAGATGCACTTAAACAAATACGGTATTGTCAAGTAACAAATATGTTAAATATTGTTTATGAAGATTTTGATTACTAATTCTAGTAAAAATTTATAATTAGAGCTTATTTTGTAATTTTTATTAATTATATATTGTGGCTAAAATATTGAGGTATTTTTTATTACTCTTATAAATAACCAAAATTCATTTTAGGTTCCCTAGTCTAGTGAAATATGTTTCTACGAGATTGCGATTTGTTAGTGAATAGACACTTTCTTAAAAGAAAATATTACAGATATTTACAACAACAAAAAAAAATCAATAATTGCAAGAGAGAATGCAAAAGTAAATTTATATTGTTGTAAAAAAATTGTTTTAAATTCTAAAATTCTTTAAAAGAAGCATGCGGACAACATAGTAGAGATGCAAATAAATTTTTTTTTAACTCGTGATTTGACTGTTTAAATGTGCGAAACTAATGAGAAAAAGACAATTTCGAAAAAAAATTACTACAAGTACGCTATTTCTTAATTTTTCAGATTCTCCTAGAAGATTTGAACGCAGAAAAAGCTAAGACCTTACACGTGGTAGAATTTTCTTATGCACATGATTGTGTAGATTATGGAACAAAAATAAAATGACGATGAGAAGAAAAGGTTAATGCTGCAAAAGTATTGAAAAATATAACAGGTAAACGTCTTACAAAAGTTATGAGATGCTGAAAATCTTTTGAGTCAATAAGTTTAAACTTTCACGTTTGATGAGCTTTATGATAGCTCGTGAGAATAGGTTCAGCCCGAAATAAATGTTTACAGATATCAAGCGCTTGTTCATAATAAAATTTTAAGCTCATTCCACTATAAAAAAAGTTACGGAATGTCAAAAAATTGCTATCCATAACAATGTAATTAAATTGGTGTGAATAAAATAGAAATTAAAATAAGTTTCAATACATCGCGTGATAGCTTTTGTTGTGCTTCATTAGATGTTGCTTCAAAAGATATTGTTAAGGGAAGTATTGGACAACTTTGTTCTGAGTCAGAGGACCCTATCTAAATCCGTATCATGAGCTATCTCATGTAATTTTGCTAATAATACAGAAAATTTTTGATAGTATGCCCTTCAACCAGCTAAAAAGACTAACTAAACCAGTTAAGAAATAAGAAGTTCTGAAATTGTTTTTTGGAATTTTAGGTAAATTTGATCAGTTTTTTTTTTTTTTTTTTTTTTTTTTTTTTTAATTGCGATCCAAATGGCTGTAACTAATAGTCATGGTTTTTTATTTGATAGGGATTCTATATTTATGCGCCAGTTGATACTATGAGAAATGTATCAATATTGATTGTATACCTATTAGAGCCATATTGAATTTTCAACTTATCTACGAGCATTAAAATCATACACGTTTTCTTTATTACGTTAGACGTATTTTAAACTATACTATACACTGCATTTTATTCCTTCTACTTAAACTGTTGCAATGCTTTTGGCATTTTAAAAGTAATTCAAACATCATATTTTAAAAATTTTTTACCAGTTATCTCAGGGATTCAAAGTATGTAATAACATTACTAACCTTTTTTTTATTTCATAGATTACGAATACAGCTCTTTTGAATTTAAATTTGCTTTCATACTTGTATCAATTCAATTTTGATTATAATCAATTTTATTGTAATTTTTTATAATTATAGATATTTAAATAGTACATTATCCTGACTTATTTTAGACTTCAGTTTTTGTTATACCTCAAAAATTCAGATTATTTTTTTTCTGATTAATTGTTAACTTATTATTACATTGAAGATTGTAAAGAAAATTGGAAAACCAAGTATTATTGTCTCAATAAACTTTCGAAAAAACAAAAGACGTTTCCTACATTTCTATGCTAGCATCTAAATTATTAATTATTTGACGTTTCTTTATTTTAGTCTCTTGCTTGTCCATTAAAGTTATGGCCAACAGTAGATGCAGTGGATTATTTAGCAGTAAAAATAATATTAAATTTAAAGCAGTTTTTTCTAAAACAACGTATAAATTTGTATGTAAAATCATTCACTTCATATTCATAAAATCATTAATGTTTTTAGTTCTTTCGATTAATTATTTAAGTTTTAAAGTTTTTTACGTAAAACAGGATTTCATTTGAAAGTTGCTTATATCAATTTGTTGTTGAGAGATTTTGTAAGATAATGATTTACTTATAAACAAATTTACTAGTCTTGTAAGGTAGCTAGCTGAATGTAATTTTATAAATGAATATAAGTTAGGAGGTTGGAGATTTATAAATACACCTTGATAGTATAGCAATAAACTTAATACAGGGATATCTTCTCAACTCTTTACTTAATCCTTATAAAACTCATTAATTGATTTTTTTTGAGAGTATCAAAATTATCTGTATTTCAAAATTCTTGTGTTTAAAACAGTTATACCTTTATCGATATACAACGTTAAACTAGGCGTTTAATTTGTTATAATGTAATCAAAAGTTTAATCATCGTTTTATTAATAACATTATGAAGATGAAAATAGATCATTATACTTATTAAAAACAATAGAAATCGACAGTTAAAATAATTTGAATCATACCGGTATCCCGAATGTTCTGACTAAAATAGGGTAGTAGTTTTAATGCCTGGTAACAAATTGACATAAAATTCAACCAGTAGAAATGTCAGCAAGAGCCTCAAAAAAATGTCAAAAATGACGAAAACATGTTTTTTGCGTCCAAACAAAAGTTGAAAAACTGCACATATAAAAGTATGTAGGAGAAAAGATGTGCAATTTTTAAGACAAAAAATATAAGCCACATTGGGTTTAAATCGGTTAAACCCTATTTTCCCAAATCGCAAAAATCTGCCATTTCGAGTCATTTTTTTAAAACTCAATAACTCGCGTTCCATACAATAGTTAAAGCTGAAATTTTTTTGCAAGGCAGATATTGTAGTTATTAACATACATACAAAATTTTAGCTGGATTGGTCTTAAACTGTTCGTGAACTGCACCAAAAATCCTAGAAAAGTCCTCTTAAAAAATGGCCATAAAAAAGTTGGTAGCCAACATAAGTACATTTTTTAAATGTATTTTGCTTTGTCTATATTTAATCTACAACTACCTAAAATGCCATTTATTTTTACCAATTAAGAGTACCTTCAACATTGACTGCAAAAAGTGGCTTTTTACTCGTTAGTCTGAGAAATCGGCGGCTCGGCGAGTCGCCACGGAGGCCATGCCCATTTCCTGCATGCATGTTTTAATCGAGTGTGTTTAAAATAAAAAAGTGCTTTTTTTGCACTCAATGTTTAACGTACTTCTAATTGGTAAAAATAAATGACGTTTTCGGTAGTTGTAAACTAAATATAGACGAAGCGAAACACATTTGAAAAATGTACTTATGTTGGCTACCAACTTTTTTATGGCCATTTTTTAAGAGGACTTTTCTTGGATTTTTGGTGCAGTTCACGAACAGTTTAAGACCAATCCAGCTGAAATTTTGTATGTATGTTAATAACTACAATATCTGCCTTGCAAAAAAATTTCAGCTTTAACTATTATATAGAACGCGAGTTATTGAGTTTTGAAAAAATGACTCGAAATGGCAGTTTTTTGCGATTTGGGAAAATAGGGTTTAACCGATTTAAACCCAATGTGGCTTATTTTTTTCGTTTTAAAATAACACTTTTTTTTACAAAACACTTTTATGTTCGATCTTCGGTTTTCTTCTAGACGTGAAAAACATGTTTCGGCCAGTTTTGTCATTTTTTTGGGGTTTTTGCTGATATTTGTACTTGTTAAATTCTGTGTCAATTTGTGACCATGCATCAAAACTACTACCCTATTTTTTTTCGATTTAGTTAGAATTTCCTGGGCCGAAAAACTAATTTTACCATACTACTATTGCTTATTTGCCAATCGAATTAAAGTATCTCTTTACTTTGAGCTCAGTTAGTCATGCATTCATATTATTGCTGTTAACATAGAATTTATGTGGATGTATGTGATTGATGACTAACATAGCTGTATGAATTCAGTTGGTAGTGTCTACGTCTAAGCAAAGTACAGTTTACTAAAATAACAGTAACGTATTCGTGTCTTCATAAAATAAAAGTGTAAAGATTTTTAATCATAAATGTACAGTTAGTATTTTTAATTTGGTTTTTTTTTCATCTAAGTGATGTGTAAGTATGTTTATTTGTATTAATAGTGATTTAAAAATATGTCAAAAAAGCACTGAAAGTAGATGCTCTTATAAGTCATATTGCTATCCGACAGGATGCTTGTTAATCCAGTGATATAGAAAATAATATTTCACCATACCAAATTATCTTTTGTAGAACTATATTAAAAATACTAGGTAATATGAAAATAAACTATAACGTACAAATTTTATAAGTATTTTATTTTTCATGTTTTTACTGTTCAGTTATTTTTTTTACCCTACAAATATATTATGAGGTGAAAAAATAGTATTTAATATTTTATAGTACGTTTGAATTGACAGCTGCTAAATACAATATTATATTCCGTCAGTTCCATTACATATATAACCATACATCGACATTAAATGTATGTATATGTGTATATCTTTCTATATTAAATGATTGTTTTTGTGAATTAAATCACATCACCCACAGCGCTTGCATTGCTTCACACAGGCTCCCTGTGGTCCTGTACAGCCTTTCACAAAATAAGGAAAAATTCATTTCATTACCCTGTGATTTTAAGCCTATAATATTTGGGTAAACCTTCATTCCTCCCACAGCCTCTGCATCTACTTATGGCCCCGCCCCGCACGTCCACCTCTTTAACCCACTAGTGCCTCTTCTCAAAAACAAGGTAAAATTTGTAATATTTTTATATTCTATAGAATGAATTATATTCCACAATCATTTTCCTACAGCTTCCTACATCACTCAACTTATGAAATTAGGTTATGTGGCTTATTCGCTAGACTTGATTCAATAATAAACATTCAATAGTGTTCTGTATCTGGTTGAAACCCACCCATAATAACTTAATTTATTCAGTTGTTAATTCAGATTTAAATTTGATGATTTGAATTAATACGTAAGCTTCTTTTCATTATTTCCTTACATGAATTTTTAAGTTCATTTTTGTTTATATTAATTAACTCTCTGCCACTTGGCCCCCCACTCACAATATACGTCTTCTAAATTTTATCAAAAGTCACTGATGAATTTCTAATACACACATCTTGATGAAATTTTATGAATTGTCTATGTTATTACTTCTCAAATTAAATGAATACCTTGTAAGTGGTGTGCACGAGGTCTGACTCGAAAACATTCAGAATACCTTAGAATGTCTTAAGATCTTTAAATACGTTTATTGGCTTTCGTAATATATACATATCGCTAACCTAAGTATGTCTGTGTCATAACGTTTGAACGCCTTCAACTAGATAGAACTGTTAGCTATAACTTTCTAAGTACTCCTTTAAAGCCGCATTTTTTATCTACGTGCCATAGTTTGCAGTGTTAATTTGTAAACAGGTTATTTTAAGTGATCCGTGAGGTTAATTATTGTTCATAATAGCTAAAAAGTTGGAAATGAATTTACCTCAAGGTATGCTGAAAGTGTACTCAAAAAAATTATTACTGGTAATGAATCGTGAGTTTATAGTTATGATCTCAGAATAAAACAATAGTCATCAAAGTGGAAACGTT